CTCGCCTTGACAGCGAGAGGTCGCAGGTTCGAGTCCCGCCAGAGGCATTTTATTACACAATTTCTTTATTCATTTATTTACAGGACTACATTCGTTGAGAGCTATGCTACACGATGTATTTATTAAGTCCTTTATTCGAACACTGTATTTACCTTTCTTTGATGATTTATATATGATTTAACAGTGTTAACGGCTACCTTGATTTATGTTATATATATATATACATATTATATATCGAACTGTATAATAGTAATGGTGATGGTAATGGTTGCAGACTTCTGTAGCGCAAAAGCCTAATAATCGTTGATTCATTTAAAAGTTATGGATCACGTATACTTTGTGACAGATGAAACTAGCTGTATGGGATGGATCATAACAGGCATTCGTAAACTCCTGGATTGGCTAAAAAAAAATTTAAAAAATGATGGCATAGGCTATAACCTATTTGTTTTCGTAAGCTTGCGAAACCTCCCTAATATAGTCGTGTTGATGCAAACGCACTGTCGTACCAGTGTTGTTACTTCGGTTTGCGTAAAGACATTTTAGAATTCCGTGGCATGGTGCCAGGAGTTGCCTGACTTGTCTGAAGTGGTTGGTTCAGGGAGAGAAGTCCCTAAAACTCCGACAATGTGGGATTTGAAAGGCTTATATGTGTTTGATCCAATGATGTGTAGTAATGTAAAGCGCTTAGAGGCTTTGTAAAGACATGAAGCGCTATATAAGAAAGACGTATTATTATTATTATTATTATTATTATTATTATTATTATTATTATTTTCTTCTTCTTATTATTATTATTATTTTCTTCTTCTTCTTATTATTATTATTAAATTGATGGCGATTCATATATGTATTATACTTCCATATTTTCACCAACGAATGTGTTTTTCTCCCCGACGGGATGGGGTGGGGATGTGTATAGCACTTTCCACCAATGGTGTATTTAGAAGTCTTGAATGGTGGGGGGGGGGGGAACAAAGGTGAAGTGGGCGCTAATTCCCAAAATATGGTGATTTTAGGTGATTTTAACTACTTGACCGTGATTTTGGTGGGTGGGGGAAGAAGGGGGTGCCCCGCGCCCTCCCCTAGATACGCCCCTGTTTCCGACGGGGTTCCACCCGCCTCCTCTCTATGGGCGTCATTTGTTAAAATTGTTTAGGCGTGAACCTAGCCTTATTTATGCCCTGTCTCTTCTTTTAAAGGTAAGTATAGTGACCTGATGTTTCAATCAATAATGATAAAAGTCGGCGACAACATTTTTATTTCCGAATTAAAAGGCATGAAATACTGACACCGGGGGAAAAATTATTTATACAAGCTGGGGTACAAGCCAGTTGCGTATGTAGAGTTTTGAAATGGGAAAATGCTGGTTGTGGGTGGGTGGGGGAATGATCGAAGATGAACTGGGTGGGGTTCGATGATTAGGTGAGGGGTGCCAGCTCCGAAAATAAGGTGATTTTGGGTCATTTCGTACTACTGCAGCGTACTATCTTTGCTTCGAACATTTCCAATTTCTGTTGGGGAGACGTGGTGGGGGCTCCCACGCTTCCCTAGACACGCCACTGGTATAAGCATGATACTGAGAATAATCTGCATGTATGTGGTTCGAACTCACTACCAGAGCTTAAAAACCTCAATTTAATAGCTGGCCCAAGGCTAACATTAGATTAATTTGGATTTGCATGCTTTTGTGATTATATTAACTTATTCATCTGTAAGCTACAGCTCAGTTGAATAAAGACTCGTATATTGATGATCCCGGCGAAATGTCGACGTGGCATAACATGATATCCAAAACAAGTAAAGACGTTAACTACACAGTAGCTGCGTCGATGGGACAGGGAAAATTAGCGCCCCCTACCGTTCCCCTCTTCATACAGACATTTGACAAGCTGAGCCCTCTCCCCGTCGAAGACTTATAGATCACCTAGATATCAGACTATTAATTTATTCATGTTTAATTTGGTGTTGGTTCCCAAGCCTTTATCTTTGGTCTGTTTCATTATTGTTTATTATGTAAAAATAATAAAAATTAACAAGAATAAAAAAAAATAAATATTTCTTCAAAATCTTTTCTTAGTTCAACTTAGTTTGTGGAGATAGTTCGAAGGTGGCACTGTCTTGGTCAATTTACTTTGTCGGTGTAATGGTCGGTGCGTTTTTATTTGGAAATTTGGCAGACATGTAAGTATGATTTACTTGAATGTATATTTTTTTTTTCATTGTGAATTTTTTCACTCGCATGTGAGGGTACATCAATAATAATTGACGCGCGCACGTAAACATGTGGAGCCAGTTTGTTCACTAAACCGTAGATATCTCAGGTCCCCGGTTCATTTCTCCCGTCGCTGCTCTCCCATCGCTGCTGGAGGGCTGAAATGCAAGTTACTTAGCGCACCTTCTTTCGGATACGACGTTTAAGCCGTTGGTCTTGTGTGCATTATGGCCCATGAGCACGTTAAATAATGCCCTTCCTAAAGGAGTATAGGATTGTCTCCCGGTGTACTGCTCAATCGCCACCAGAAGGACCCATTGGAAAAAGTCTTCCTCACACTTTCGTGGGTTGTCCTTGGTGTTTACACCAAATAAATCCATTCACCCATGTGGAAAACTTACAAACGATTAACCTATATCGAGAACTTTCGATCCGATTCCCAAATAGGTGGAAACCCCCTCTTCCCCCCCCCATTTTTAAAAATGTTCTTGGCGTTAATTTTGGCATAGCACCGATTCTCACATGGACAAAGGGGACAGTGATTCAAAGACACTTTTTAACTTCTCAATAAATATAATAACCATACGTTTACCATAAATCTATATAATAACAGAACATAATACTTGCTTCATTGTTTACAGCTTTGGGCGGAAGCCGACATTCTTTGCAGGCATTTTGTTACAGCTGGTTTCCGAGTTAATTGTGGCATTCTCTCCGTCATATTGGGTGTTCGTCTTCTTCCGACTTCTTGTTGGTCTCGCTGATATGGGTATCTATCTTGTAGGGTTTGTTTTAAGTAAGGACACTTTCTTGTACTTCATATAAATATTGTAAAAATCGACATTCACATGTTAAACTCCGAGCGATGCCATATAATAATACCGTAATCGGCCAATAATAGACCTAATGATGATGATGATGATGATGAATAAAGTTTGGTAAGACTGATTGGTTTCAAACTACTACTCATCATTTCTCAGAGAAAGATCGCAACGTAGGGGAGGCTATGCTTTGCGCAGCGTAAAAGGAGCATTTCTAGTTATTACTGACATGTAAACGTATTTTACAGTAACTGAATTTGTAGGTGTTTCCAAACGTGTTCTCGCCGGGTCAGTCTTTGCAATATATTGGGCAATTGGCTATATGGTGATTGCATTGCTAGCCTTTCTCATACGGGATTGGCGACATCTGACCATCGTGGTGACTGCGTTTTCTGCTCTACAACTACTTATGTATCCGTAAGTATAGAAACTTATTTATATATAAATATTTACATATTATTTTCTACCCAGTCGTCAAAAATAGGCATGTATTTATCATCCATTTATGCACTCGTCCATCCATCCGTCAATAAATGAATAAATCAATCAATAAATCAATAAATCAATAAATCAATAAATCAATAAATCAATAAATCAATAAATCAATAAATCAATAAATCAATAAATCAATAAATCAATAAATAAATCAATCAACAAACCAATCAATCAATCAATCAGTCAATCAATCAATCAATGGATCCTTCCATCCATTCACCTATTGTTCAACCTATCCATTAATCCATTCATCAATACACCCATTTACATCCAACCTTTTATCCATATCAATTCGTTCACCTATATTAACCAGTCTACCCATTACACTGCTGTTAAGTACAACTGAGCTTTTGCTAATACTATGTTTATGACTCTATGTATTTATAAACCAATTATTCGTCAATCCATTCATCCATCCACACAAAAATACCGGTGGCAGCGCCAGTGTCTGAAATCTGGGACAAGGTAAAATTTTAAGGGGAGGGGGAAATATGTTTTCCCATAGCAGACCTGCGATACAATTTAAGATAAGAGATAAGGGAAAATTGACCCATTGATAAACAAAAGCTACAATACATTCATTCATTTAACCTTCTATCCATTCATTTATCCATCCATTAATTGACCCATGAATCATCACTCCATCCATCCATCAATTCATCCAACCAATCATCCATTCATCACTCTATGTATCTATCCATTTATCCAGTGGCGTGGTATGGGAAGTGGAGTCGGTCACAGAGCACTGGAGCCCGAGACTATCGGGGGGCCCGTTCAATAGGCCCAGATCTAAAAATATAACTTAAAAAATTCTTTCTTAAATAGGCGTACTTCTTAATAGGAATTACAATTTCACAATCTCGTATTATGACGTGTTAGCACATAGATTTATAATTATCTAGGTCTCGTCTATTAGAGGTTGGATACATATGCCTCTTTAGTTTATACACTCCTCTCCTCATAGTCCTAAGCTAATCAATACAAATTCAAATCGTAGCCTAATTTTCTTATTTTAATGGCTGGTCTCCATGGTTGAATTAATGTGGTTTGGCCTCGGGCACATCACGGATTAGTAAATATGCCTATTTAGAATGAATCCATAGGCCTACACATATACAGCCATAAAAACAGCTTCGTATATTTTGAATTTTTGAATAACAATAGGTGATTATATGATTCATAGTTCATGAATACGTTTTTCATGTACATCAGTGTAAGTATAGGTCGATGATTGTTCTATGTCTAAAAAAATAATAAAATGTCTCAAGAGACTATGAGTCTCTTGAGTATCTATGTGAGCATCAGGTTATGTGCTTGTAATGCATAAGCGCATAGGGAGGAGTTTTCAATAGACTTCATAAATTTAATTGGTCCGATGAAACTACTAAACCAACCAAATTCTTGTTTAGATATGATTTAGAAGGCAAATTATGCTCTCGAATGAGTTTCCCCGGTGAAATTCGACCAAATACTTTCGACTGTATAAATGGATATTAAAGACACTTAGGCGATTTTGGCAAATTTTACTGTTCTTTACACTGAAAAAAGGGTGTGTCAGATTAAAATCAATCGATGTATGTGTTATGAAAACAATTGTAATTTTATAATCGTTGTAAAGATTATTAAATTTTGATTCGTGTTATTTTTCCCCAAAAAATCGATTATGTAAGAGCGAATTACAAAAAGAAAAAGTTAAAAAATCGCAATATTTAGGGTTTGACGACGTTCACTGGCGCTTTATCAAATTTTAACACAAAATGTTAATTAAAATCTCTATTCATCATTATCAATTCGTTAAACCGATCCATCCATACCAGTGCAATTATAATACACACACCTTAACTTGGCCTGCCTATAACCTGTCTCTTATACACATCTAGATGTGTATAAGAGACAGGTTTTATACCAGAGTCTGCACAATGGCTAAATGCCCGTGGTAGGACAGACGAAGCCAAAGTAATCCTTAAGAGAATTGCAGAGTCGAACAATCGGGAGCTAGCCGACAGCCAACTGGATGCAATTCTCAAAGAAGATGTTGATACGGTATTTATTAATTTCTTATTTTGTAAGGTCATTCTTTAATGTAAATGAAGCCCTGTCCAGACTATCAAAAACATGTGACATGCCTAAATATGGTCATAATGACTTCACATCTTTACTATATGCCATGACTTTGTACTATTCCCAAACGATATAAAACAATTAGAACAACAATTTTTTTTGTTTTTTTTCCGTTAAGACACTAATTTCTTATGGATAAGACGAATCAAGAAGAATAACTTAACTTATACTAAACTTTTTAATTTTAAATACTTATCAAATTTTTAATGTATTGTGATCTTTGTTCCTGCGTTTTTTATACTTCATAATTTAAATATGTTGGTGTGTTTTAGACATTGTAAATGGTTGCATTGTACCATATGACCCTACCAGGATTGTAACCCTTCCCTGTAAGACTGGATGCCCTATTCTAGGTGGATCTTTAGATCGCATCTTTTGCACTTGTTTGCCCCATAGATGGAAAAATATCCGAGCTTAAAACAATTTCCTTTGCAGAATTTAAAGACTAAAAGCCAAACCATTAAAAAAACACATAATTATGAACTTTCATTGCTTAAGTACTCTGTTATTTTACAATTTATTGCAGAAAGAGAAATCCACGAAGAAGAACTTTACTGAGTTGTTTCGTCATCCCAACTTGCGAAAAAAGACTTTGGTGTTATATTACGGCTGGTATATTTTGCTTTATCGTTACATTAATGTATTGATGTATCACACTTTTTGAAACATATTTTGGAATAGGAATATGTAGGACTACATATGTACACAGTTACTGTATTTCACTAGTCTAGTATCACATCATTAATTCATACATACATATTAGTGTATATATATATATATATATATATAAATATATATATATATAATATATATATGTACAGTATATATATGTATGTATATATATATATGTATATATGTACATATATATGCATATATATGTATATATATGTATATATATGTGTATATATGTGTGTATATGTGCGTAGGCCTATATGTGTGTATATATGTATATATATACATATATATATATATATATATATATGTATATATATACACATATATACATATATACACATATATTTAGAAAAATTCCATATGCCTTTATTACTACAAACTTGTTTCGTATGAACAGTTGTCAAAAGCTGCTCACACTCATCAGGTACAAATACATAGTGAGTCAGTACAAGAGTTTGTAGTCCGTTTTTATCGAGGGGCTGTTGGTAAAGTGGTGCTGCATCATTAAATGATTGCTCGTCGTAGATATCCCAAGACCTAAGTTTACTAGAATGACATGAGTTAAATGTTGTTACCACATCTACAACCCTCTCTCTTTTTTATTACGCAAATTGGACGTATCAGTATTTGACTTCGGCTCCTTAGTTATCTGAGATTGACGATTTTAAAAGCACGAGGACCAGCACTGAGGACAATTTGAACAAATATCATTGCATATCAAACTTTTATCAGTATTGAGGATCTTACATGGCACTCACTCAGGCGATGTTGAGTCTCTGTAGATTGTTGGTGGCAGTTTGGCCGAATTGTCATTAAAAGATCCGTTGCACGCTCGTCGTGGCGTTGGCGGTCTAAAACAAAATCGCGTTGGCCGACGCCCATCGGACGCAGTGAGTGCCCGTTTTAGATACCCAAAGACCTAAAGTTCACTGGAATAAAAACTCATTAATGTGACGTCATTGTAAAATAAAAATTATTTAAAACTATATTTTATTGATAACCGAAAAATACTTCTTGCTCTGTCACCTGCACTACTAGGTTTGTTAACAGCTGTATCTACTACGGACTGTCTTTCGGGTCATCATCTTTGAAAATGAACGATTATCTAGCCGCTGCCATGTTTGGTTTTATCGAGTTACCTGCCTACGCACTCTCCTGGTTTGCTCTGTGGAAATTAGTCGGCCGCCGAGTATTATTGTGTTCGTGCTTAATAGCAGGAGGCATCGCTTGCTTCATGAACATTTGGATACGTAAGCATTTGTTATGATTATGTGTTAATCAGGGCCTGCCATTATTACCCTGGTTAATAGATTATTGGTCATATTAAGAATTTGCAATCTTAAGAAATTGCCTACGATTATATTATTTTGAGTCAATCGCTAATAATAGGCGTTTTTACGAAAATATCATGGAACAGTTTATTATTTAGACAATCACGGTAGCTCCAATTCTGTGGAACAATCGTCTCCAAATCCCTCTCTATATAGACCTTCACTAAAAAACACATACACACAAGATTCTGTAAATACTTTTATATTCTCAAACTGTTGTAGTAATGGCTCCAAAATTACTGAGCTTTGACTCTTAGAATCACTGACCTTGGGTTTGTTTTGCAGCAACTTTTAACACGGTGTAGACAATACTTTTTTCTACAACAAATGAAAATCTTGATGAAGAGAGATGCATTTTGCTGTCATCGGCATAGTGATAATTGAAATCACGTTGACGACGAACCAGTCTAAGTAGAAGATTTTAAATTGTGAATAAAAGTGGGTCTATAGAACGCTTAAAGCCTGGTTCTCGTGCAATCACTACCCTATCGCCGAGAGCTATCTCAGATCGCGTTGGGGACTGCGACGCAGTCAACTATTGCACTGGAGACACTGACATAGCGAGTGTAGCGATATTAAGAAATTCAGGCTTTTAGTGTTCAGCAGGTTATAGAAAAATTCCGTGCAAAAGAAAGTGACCATTTACCAATAAGATGTATTCAGTCACCAGTAAATAGTATAATACTTTTTGCTTCTTTGAAATGTTTATGGATAATATAAATCTATGCATTTATTTATATATGTTCTGAAGGATGTTTTATGTTTCTTATATTCTGTTATTATATAGCGGAGTCTGAGGCAAATATCAGAGCAATCTGCTCTATAACTGGAAAATTCTTCATCTCAGCTTCTTTTAGTATCATCTATATGTTCTCCGCTGAGCTTTTCCCGACTGTTGTGAGGTAAGGATATCATATAAAACGAACATTAAAGAAATTTGTTGATACCATCATCATCCTCGTTACCGTCACCATCACCATCGTCGTCATCATCATAATCTTCATCATCATCTTCAGCAACATTATCATTATTGCCATCTTCATCATCCCCTGACCTGTTATCACACTGAATACTCGGTACGTTCCCATATACTTGCGAAAACATCTCGCAATGATTCCGGTGAGAATCGAAACCCATATCACCAGATAACCAGCCTGGTGTAGTTTACCTAGGCCAGAAATTTACTCCCATAAAATTTCCTGACGCAAAACCACATCAAAATAGCATTGCAGTACCCGCTGCTACTTGGGAATCGGATTCAACACTAGTCACTAAGTGCAAGCTCGGTGGTCTAGTGGTTCCCACCCGAATCACTTGCGATAACACGATATGAAGGAAAAAACAATACTCCTATGGATTGTACTTACGAAAAACATTTTACATCGAAATATTTATATTTTTCTACCTAAATTTAGATCTGTTGGAGTTGGATCTTGCTCTACATTTGCTCGTATTGGTGGTATGTTGGCTCCTCAACTATTATTCTTCGGCAAATTTTGGTCCCAACTTCCTTCAGTTGTGTACTCGTTTCTTGCTATTACCTCCGGGTTTCTGTGTTTACTTCTCCCCGAGACTCGAGGTGTTCCTCTCCCGCAAACGATTCAAGATGGAGCAAATTTCACAAAACAAACGTGAGTTAGTTGTTACCGTGTTCGTACATATGACCACCATGACTCCGGTTCTTTTTGTTGATAATTGAAAAGAAAAGGGCGCCGGGCATACGTCATCAGATTGGTGTTTGCCAGTTAAACATTTGAAGGAATAACATAGACACGATTTGGTTTATTTCTTATCACATACAATATGACCGGAGGGTATAAAGTCTTATAAATTGTTTGTTGAAAAAAACTATCTGATAGTGTATGCCCGCATTAAGAAATGATTTTGTGTTAATTCTGTGAGAATATACAAGCAATTTGTATTATTATACGGGTTTATTTTCTGTATAAAACGTATATGCTGCACGACAGATTCTGTCAAGCCCTATTAGACTTTGTATCTTTTTATGTCTTATAGGAGAAAATCAGAGGGAACGAAACAAAATCGCGACTATGTTGAGTTACAAACATCACCACCCAGTGTCGCTGTTTAACGCCATAGTCGGGTTCTACGGAATCGAGAAAAAAGGAACAAAACAAATCAAAAACAAAAAAACAAATAACAAATAACAAATAACAAAACAAAAACAAGCAGCTGTAAAGTTTGGCTCTCAATCAGCTCACATTAAGATTTATCACCAACCTCGACATTCGATGATGATCTCAATGGTGAGACCGTACGTACTGCTGAATTGTATTCACCGGGCCACCCGCACTGAGTCTAAAGTTGCCAGTGAATTCAGATTGCTTCCTGACTCTCCCTGTTCATGTTTCTTCTAAGTAAACTTTGAGATCCTTTGTTTCCAATCTCGTGTTTAAGCGACGCAATGGCAACGGTTTCTGTGATGAGATTATGCAATTATCGAGGATGTCTCCATCTTAACCGATGTGTGGATATTTGAGAAATTTAGATCAACAGCCATGCTCCTTCTGAAATATGCTTTAAAGTCAGGCTCCGGAGGAAAAAAATTTTTTGATATGTTGTAGAATTGATTTTTCTAAGACAGAAAAAAGTTGTTTGACGAAAAACTGGGGAACGGTGAATGAGATACAGATTTTTTAATATTAAAAACTGAGGGAATAAGGTGTAAAAATGGGCAGTTTTTTTTTAATTTTTTTTATTTACCATTTTATTCATTTAATCATACATTACATTCAAAATGAAAATAAACAAAAATAATTAAATAAGTGGCCTTCTTTTCAATACATAGAGTAGTATACATATAACAACATTAAACATTTTTATAAATTCTTTTACTAGTGAAAATATAATATTGTATTTCATTTTCAAAACTTGTACAATTACGTTAGGTATACCAGAAGCTAGGGTAAGGCCATGACTTGAAACATATAAATATTCATTATTTATTTGAAGCTTTGAAAAAGAATTGTTAATTAGGTGGAAAACATTCTCTTGTTGTTTAAAATTTCAACTGGAAGTCATAGACTAAAATGTAAACCTGTACAAGCATGGTCAGATATTGAATTATTTCTAATATTTTGTTAAGCTTAGAACAGACAGGCTATTTATCGGATCTGCATTACACCAATCAACCCGTACTAGTTTTTTTTTCTTTTATTGATGTGTATAAGAGACAGGTTATTATACAGCGGAGTCTGAGGCAAATATCAGAGCAATCTGCTCTATAACTGGAAAATTCTTCATCTCAGCTTCTTTTAGTATCATCTATATGTTCTCCGCTGAGCTTTTCCCGACTGTTGTGAGGTAAGGATATCATATAAAACGAACATTAAAGAAATTTGTTGATACCATCATCATCCTCGTTACCGTCACCATCACCATCGTCGTCATCATC